ACTCCCTCATACTATAACAATACTAAGTAATCGCATTTTCAGAAGCATAAGGATAAGGCACGTTAAACATTAACAATTACAAGGGAACTAAACTTTTTATTAAGATTCCTCTGTCTTTATAGAACGAATCAAACATACTTTCAGTATCGCCATATATAATTTTTCCCTGTGTTTAACTAATTAAACACTACGCCATGAAGACGTATGGGGGAGTGGACGTATAGAACCACATTTTCTTGACCTCGACATTAGTTGGAGGTGAGTGACCAGCTTCTCACCCCGGCCGCTTTACCCCCGGGGGAAAAGCCCCCGGTACCCATTGGATACGATGCTGGGTGGGTCCCAGAGCCGTTCTGGACGACATGGAGAAGGAAAAATACTTGACCCTGTCGGGACTAAAAGTCTGACCTCGTCGGTCGTCAAACCCATAGCCAGTCCCAATACGGACTGAGATATCCCAGCTCCTGAACATGTCTTAAATTTCACGTTCTGTGTAGTAACTGACTGCGGGGCTTTCACACTGCATAGTATATTCAGCATCGAGTGAAGGACGATTCTGGACGAATGGAAACAAGCGTTGTGCTTTATTCTGAGTTACAATCCTGGCGTCCGTCTGTACACTGAAGCAAATAACGAAATCTCTCATAATTTTTAAATTCCCGCTGAGAGTATAACAAGCTGCTCCAATGAATATGAAGGAATGGTCCCATTTAACTTATTCAGTATTTCTAAACTGATCTTTTAATTATTTAAATTATTACAATAACATGACACATATTTTTTTCATCCGTTTCTCTTATACTCTCCTAAAGGGTGCCGAGGTTTCATTTATTCTTTTAATCATTTCACAGGCGGTAGGACTCCTTGGACGAGCGATTGGCCCTACGTAAGGCCGCTTCCTTTACACAGGACAAGATAAACACAGAAAAACGCATACACACACACAACAAACATCCATGCCTTGAGTGGGATTCGAACCCACGATTTAGACTTCCGAGCGAAGACAATGTATGCCTTAGACCGCTCATGGTACGTCTAATTAAATATTTGTTTCCGGAATCGATGTATATAAATATCAGCATAACAGAAGAAAGTATTCCACTTACTTATGCGATATGCACGGAGAAGTTCCTGAAACTCTGGTGAGACGAACGAATGGATCCGAAACTAACATCACACTTCATAATCCAAACTTCTTAGGTAATTGACTTTGTACACTGAGTCTCTGTCGTTAACAACATTATAGAGTACTAAGAAAATACATCAGTAAAACCTTAACTGTATATTCAGCACGCCAGTTGGAAACTTGAACCGAGCCGTATAATGTTCATCAGGGCATAAATCTTACCCATACTGAGATGCCTTCAACAGTGCATCCTTTCAGAAGTATTTATTGTCAATAGCATAGTGAAATACAATAACGAGAAATAGTTACCCTTATATGTAGGCCATGCCATAGCTCAGGCGGTTAGTCGCCGGATCCCCCCCCCCCGACGCCAGAGTTCAAGCTCTGGTGAGTAAATGTTGGATTTGTGGTGAACAAAGTGACACTGGGGTAGATTTTCTCCGAGTACTTCGGTTTCCCCTGCCAATTCTCCTTCCACTGACTGCTCAACACTCATTATCTATCGTCCGGTTCCGGTACAATAGCCGAAATAGTGGGCGACATACCAAGTACACTCAGTCTGACCCCACCCAAGAAACTAAAAATAAACTAAACTGCCCTCATACGTAATGCATTGTGTTTACAATGGAAGTGTTTAAACACATACACGTACATTCTTATCGAATCTGACACTTTGCTAGCCGACTGGTAGTAACGATGTGAATTCGCGTGATGTAATCCTGCTCCTCAAGGATTAGCATCTGACTGTGGAGAGCGGATCTGCGCGCTAGGCAGAAGAGAGCTTAAGGTCCTAGTAGGGGTCATGAAATCCTTAGACGTCAAAAGTTAGGAACCGGAAGAAGTGTAGTTCCTTGTCTTCTTGTTGAGGTTGTTCCGGCAGCCGTCAAACGCTCATAAGACAGATCTGCCAGACACAACTTCTGCAAATGAAAAAACAGTGGACGTTCTTCACTGTGAGTATATACAAAATGGCCTCCTATGCCTCATATTGTGCATGTTCTGCTGTTTTCATAAAATCCTCAACAAGGCTCTTCGAGTTGATATTCAGAAAGTCTGAATGGACAATGAAATCTGGCATTAAAATCACAGGAAATGACGTCCCATGAATGGTTCTACATATGTTTTCAAGGAAAGCTGTTGTTATTATGAACCATCTGCTTTAACATTAAAAATTTCAATATTTTGCTCACGTTATATTTATGGGTCAGAATAAACAGCGATTATTTCCTTAACAGGATTAATCGGCTGCTATATGTTGTGATATGACGCCTGAAAGCCGGAATATGACCATCTGCTGGGCGGCGTTTCGCTAAGCACATTGCCGTGACAACGGGGAACAGACTGTTGCTAGACAACGGTTTGGTAAACACGCGTTCCCATGGCAATGGATACGCAGATTACAATAGACGGACAGTTCAAGTATGTGTTCTGTTTGCGATTAGTGAGAGATTCCTCAGACAGTCAGACATTCAGTAGGAGTTCATTGTGTGAGCTGTTATAATTGATTGCAATTGTAAAAAAGTGCCAATAAGCCCAACCATAAGATCTAGAACCCATTGTTATTCGTCACGCAAACCCCTGTACGTGACGGTATATTAGATACAGGACTGTTTTATGAGAGTCAGAAAATGGTTTGTATATTATGTAAAGAGCTATTATTTTTGGAAGAACTGAAGAAAGAGTCTACAACTAGAAACATAATTATATTCAATTAACATGCAACACGCTGAAATAATGAGGTATATATGACTTTTATTACGAATTGTATTTTAGTGTGCGCTACTTGTAGCTTCATCAGCATAATTTTCAAATCTCTTTAAGCCTTGTGGCTGTCTAATATGAAACAGAAGTATTAACCTCAACATCATCACACTCGAATTTTATAACAGTTACACTGAAGAAATAATCTGATTAATAACATCATCCGAATGAGTACCACATTCAACTCGAACGTGATGCGAACGGGAAGTTCAGCTTACCCGCGTTATGAGCAGATGTCAGACTAACGACGGATCATAAGTAGAACCATTGTCTCATGTTGCTCTAAAACTCATCTGTTCCTTCGAGGAGAATTAACTTCGCAGTAAATGTGAAATACAGGTATACTACATGAACTGGGATCAATACATGTACGAAATATCCCCAGAAGGTGTGTTTGTCTGAGGAGACTTAGGGCGCGCGTGGATTCAGCGCTATGCAGAACAAACGGCGTACTATGATACATTTAAGAAAGAACACAATAAACTGCAGCTACAGAAATATATCCGCAAAAGTAAAGTCTTCAAACAGGCAGAAGGAGGTTGGGTGCAGCTGCACATGATTCTTATGTTTCCTCAACAGAGAACAGATATACTCGTATTTAATTACGGCAAGAAATAAGTAACGGAGTCATGACTTTGTTATCAAAATATCCCTACCGTAAGGGCCAACATATAAGAAACAGATACTGTGTCGACAGTAACATGACTGCAAGAGGGGAATAAAGTACTCTGTAGAGAAACAGCTACGTAAATTCTCACTCTAAAGACCTGTGTATCTCAGTCTTTCGACGTGGCGACACGCTACAATATTTCAATATCTCACGGTAGTCAAAATTAATTTATTATTATAAAGCTGACTGCAATATGTGTATGCAGGTACGAATATGTGTTGCACAAATGAATTAAAGTGTGTATGTATATGTATGTACATACATCTATGTATGAATATATTTAGATACATGTATGTGTATTTGTGTATATGTATAGGCGTTTATGCATGTATCTATGCAGACATGTATATACGTAAGCATGCATATGTATATGTAGGTAGGCGCAGCAGGCATACACTTGTATATTATGTTAATATTATTCCTCCTGCTTCTTCATGCTTCTCACATACATACACACATACACACATACACACACACATACATACATACATACATACACACACACATACACACACACACACACATACATACATACATACATTGTGCTATTACTGTTCTTCATAAATAATCCTGTTCTTCATTGAGGAAAAGTGAAAAGTTCGCAGAATTCTTCCGCTGAAACTATGTCCGCCAAGATGTCTACATGTGGCATTTTGTTTACCTACTTCATCCACTGTCATTAGCACAACTCAGCTGTTAAATACTTCTCCAACAAATCACACTCCCTTCTATGATATATGTTCTCGTATTTCTTCGTTTAAATACTAGACGGATGGTCGCTTAGTTCAATTATCCACCAGAAGCAAATGAGAACCCGTATCAACGTCGAAGTCATTTTGCAATTATTAAAATGTTACGTACAGAGAGACCTATATCTGCGCTTCGTTTTCTGTAAGAAAGTCTTAATTATCTGATTTCGGAAAGACGGAAAATTGTTCTGCCTAGCGTCTGTTCTGCCTATTTGAAATTTCAGTGAAAAGTGTACTGCGTATCTCGTGTTTTAATATTCAGCTACAGTACGTAGCTGATGTGAAAGTCTCTGTCATATTGTCGAAAGGGACTTGGAAACTTGCACTAAGCGTGCCATATTTTAAGATTCTGCTGATGAATTGCATTAAGTCCCACAAAGTCTATTTCCGACTACGAGGTAGAAAACTAGGGGCACATGTATGCAAGTAAATTCTGAGTGCTTCTTTGACTGGGTTACAATCCTTGCAAGACGAAGTCAAGGCTAGCGTTCTCAGTGATTTTTTCCTTTATTATAATCCCAAAATCACCACACTTCAATGGAATTTCAAAATTACAAAACTTCTTAACACTTTTGAATGGTGTCTCACGGCGGTCTTTTCATTTTTATGATAAAACGTAGAACGAGATTAAAAATTTTAGCACTGAAAATAATCACTTATAAAACACTTGAGTGTATGAAATCTCTGTACGTACTCACAGGCAAATCAGTTGTTCGTTTCGAAGGTAGGCACGTGGAGAAGCTGATAGTTGTGTATATTCCAATATCCTGGAAATGCGTGTATCCAAGTATCTGAAAAGGAGAGAAACATAAATCTACATGCGCTAAAAATTATATTTGGTTTCGTATGGGTGTGTAATTATGTATCTCTTATTTAAGGAAATGTTGACGAGTAATCGGACCTAAAAAGAGAAATATATTATAAAAGACAGAATATAATAGGAGTTTTGATACATCAGATATGCATCTGAGAAATGGATTCTTCCCTGCCCACAAAACTCGAAACTGAGATAGCAATCAGCAAAAGGTTGAAATAGTATGCGTTTTTTTTTAATTTTAACAATCTGCATAATATTGCTGTAATGTTTTACTAATGTATCTTTGAAAAAATTAAAATATTAATTTTATTTATTTATTTACAGTTCTGTGGAAATAATAAAATTAAATTGGAAATAAATACAAAACAAACATAAAAATTCAACATTCCCTCAGAAATGGTTTGCACTATCAACATTGGATACTAAAATTATACCTGAAAGTAACATTCCTGCAGTCCAATAGACAATATAATTGCAACAAAAGCGCACAAATTGTTACGTATTCCATAAATGTTAACGGAATTTAAGTGACTCTTAAGTGGAAAATTGAAACAATAAACTATTGCACTTTAATTGCAGATCGGTAGTTTTGACATTTCCTACCTTTCCTAGGATTTCGTTTTCAGTTTCGATAATTACATGTTTAACATATTTCAGCCTGTTTTTCACCGCAAAAACCAAGCATCATTATAGCGGTGAAATCTTGTTAGAGCGAAGACATGAGAGCGAATGCGATGGACATGCGTGGGTGGAATGTGAAATACGAGTACACGCAGAATTTTGTCAGAAACCCGAAAATAAGAGACCACTTGAGAGGCTTAAGAGTCAGTGGGAGGGTATAATTAAAATACAGAGAAGAGACGTAAGATACGAGAGAACGCACTGGATTCATCTGGTTCACGTCTGGACAATGTTGATATTCTGCATTTGTCGTAATGGACCTTCCGGTTTCATGAGAGGTCAGAAAAGTCTTGAGCAAGTGGGTTGCTGTTGGCTTCTCAAGAAGTACCGTACCCAGCTGGGATAACTTGTTAAAACAAATATATACTATTATATATAATAATATTGTGACATGTTGCGAAATCCGAGCCCCCCCCACACCAGCAGTGACGCGGCGGGTGAGTCAGCGCTCCCCTCCCACCCCTCAGCGGTAACCCCGCAATGCGCAACGCGCGGTGACGTCACGAGCGGAGCCGAAGAGAGCCGAGCGGAGCCGAAGATAGCCGAGCCCCGTAACCTGGCAACTACGCAATGCTAATCAACAGCGGTGACGTCACGCTAGCAACAGCGTCCTATGCTATCCGCCACGTCACACTAGCAACAGCGCAAGGCTATATAAGCGGACCCACAGCAGTGTGATCATCAGTCGAAACATAGCAGCCTGCGAGTGTGCGACAACTAAGAAGTCAGCGAGCGGAAGACTTATTGTGTGCTTTCCAGACATAGCGAGTGCTGTAGTACGGTTATACTCAGAGTGTGTATTTCAGGGAGACTTGTATAGCTCCCGCGTTATCAGTACGTGAAGACAAGTGAAGATTGTGTTAAGAGATTTGTTGTAGGGTTTGTAAAGTGTGGAAACCCGTAACGTTGTGATAATTAAGTGTAGCCGATAGTTGTAGATTGTTCAATAAACCAGTTAACGATCTCTACGGCGTATTCAGTAACGTAAACACGTTACAATATAATATAAATATATATTACATACAAACATATTTTATATATTTACATATTTATTAATTTTAATTTATTTTAATTATTGAAAATAAAATAAGTAATAAAAATAAAAATAATTTTAAAGTATTTTACTTCAATATATGTATGTAATAATAAAATATATAATCTTATATACTAAAATAATACTAATAATTCACTTTTAAATAAGTTGCTACGTCTATTTGAGTCTTTCATAAAGAAAGTAGACCAAAAAGACCAAATACTGCATTCTCCATAGTAGGAACTACATTAAGTTATACCTATGTACTGACTATATCAACATTTGCGTTCTCTGTTTTTGTAGATCTGCTTTGTAGATTATGCTTTGTGAAATAAAATTTACTGTACGAGAGTATGAGATGAGGTTACATGACAAAAAGAACCACGTTGGAATATGTCGGGAACTGTAACATGATTTCGAAAACGATCAAGACCGAAGACTTTGGAGAAAAAAGAAAGGAAATATGGAAAAAATATAAGATGAGTTATAAAACGCAATTGAGGGCTTTTTGCTCATTATATTTTTTACAATTTTCCAATTTATTTAGCTATTTTCACAACATAGATTGCCTAATTGTATAGCAAACTTCCTATAAGTGGTAACAACGTTATAAAGCTATTATTATTTTGAGCACAAATAAACAAATAAAGGCATATAAATATGGCGAGCCCCCCTAGAAATGTAAAGGGTAAGGGTAAGACTCAGTACAACTCGAATCGTAAAATTAAATCTCGAATTTTCCGAAATTAATAATTGCGAAAACATCCTTTATTTGGTAAAACAATTAAAAGGTAAATTATCCTTGTAACAGGCCGTGGAGGCCAATAGGATTGTGATATGTTGGGGCTCCACATTTTCTAATCAGCTCACAGATGACGGTGAGGTTGTCTCCTTTAACCCCAGTGGAAAACTCCTGATACTCATTTTTTTTAGTGCCTGAGTCGACTCCAGGGTCATAGTGCGGCTGGAAAAATTACATAAAATGAAAAATCCAATGACTTCATCGAGAATCGAATCTGAGACCTTCTGGCTTGTAGCATAGTGCTTCAAAGAACTACGCTACCGCGTGCCCCCTTGGAAAAACAGAATATAATTTCTAAGCCAACAAAACTATAGTGAAACATATATTAGTTTATCTAAGTTATCTATGATCAGGAAAGAAAATTCAATTACAAATCCTGTTTTATTTGTTTGTATAAGCCAGTGTAACGCACGGAAAGAGGTTTACAGAACTTAATGTGTAAGATGCAAGTTATAAGTAGAAATAACAAAAATCGGAAGAAACTAGTCTCATCTTTCAAAAAGTCGACAGTAGCACGCCTTCATTATCAGCTCACTAAACACTCTAACCTCTGGCATTAAACGTCTGAAGTTAAAGAACCCCGTGAGAATTCAATCCAGTTAATAACATCACAAGCTGGTTCCATTATGCAAAGCAGTTAAGTGTAATACCAATTACCATTTTAAATCGGTCTCGCTGCTCAGCTTTCCAAGAAATTCTTAGTAAGATTCTAAGCTCAGGTTTTGTTGAAATATATGTTATATTTCAAATTATCAAAATTTATTTGTTGTAACTATTGTAAGAATATTTGACAGAAATGAATGGGTTCCCCTTCATACTATGTTTCCAGTTCCAGGTTCTCCTGTACTCCATTCCTGGTAGCTCAAAATTTTCACTGACAATTCACATTTTCCTCATATCTCTCAATCACATGAAATGCGATAAAGCGAGTTGGCTCAAGTAGTAACGTTTCTGGCTTGTGTTCAGGAAATACCCTTTTAAAATCCCGGCGGAAACACCGATTATTTTTACATTTGTGCACGCTTCTCTTCAGTCCCTCTATGCAAATGCCGGGACATTACCTGAAAGTAGGCCACGACCGCTTCCTCCTACATTCCATCCAATTTACTATTCACTTTTCACCTTACCATAGGACGCTATACAGTCTGAGATACTAAAAGCGTCGTTAAATAATTCATATGTATGTAAACGAAATTAAAGAAGCGCTGTATACAGTATACTAAATTTCCAATAGTTGCTGTAGTCTACTCTTGGGCCTGAGCAGAAGTGTGGTACAAACACTCATGCACAAAATCCACTGAAATATTAGCAACATTGTGTTCTCGCTTCACACTGCTGAGTTCATATTGATTTTGATATGTTTAGTTGTTCACTGGTGTATGGGACACGCCCATCCTTGCCTACGTGACATGCGGCGTTTTCAAAAGCACATAGTAATAAAACGCCATTCTGAAGGGTAGCCTTTTATCCAACTGACTTTAGTGCTCTCTTGCCTTCTCGTGGCACACTTCATTTTCTAAAATTGTATTGCGTTCGCAATTTACCAGTCTCGTTTCTAGTTCGGTAGCTCCTGCCTTAATATTTTGCCCTTTTGCTTTCTGTCAGCCACTGTTCTCGTTTAGAGATGAAGTAGGAACACGTGCAAATAAGTCAAGACCAATCTCACGTTGAGTAAAGTTGTAATGACAGTCAAAATATAAAAATGCATAACTGGTGTGTGTTGATCACATTCCTGCTCATACAGTTCACGGAAAAATCATTCCGCTCTGTGATCCACAAGGAGTAAACATCACGGCAATGAAACACACTCCATGGAGAACCCAATCGGGTCTGCGTATCGATAATATTTTACACACGTACTAGGGACTTGCGGCCGTGGGGTCTTAGGCATGAATAGTCTTCGCCCACTCTAGCACTGGAACATTGGGTTCGAATCCCACTACAGGTATGGATATCTGTGTGCGTTTATTCTGTTTTTGTGTTGTTCTGTGTGTAGGTAGCGGCCTTGTGACGGGCTGATCCCCCGTTAAGGAGTCCTACCGACTATGTATAGGATTAAGAAACTGAAAATATGACCAAGCTCAAATGGGGTGCAAAGCCAGCGATATAGAAAGAAAATAAAAAGAAAAATTAGAGATTTACTCGGTTCGATTCTTGGACAGGACGCATTCTATCTTACTATGCTATTCGAAATTTTCTCAGCCCCTCGAAGAAAATAACATGTTGAAACACTGATTACGCCATGAGTATCCCCTTCTGAATTATTTCCAATTCATAATTCATCAACTGTCCTAATAGTGTACCCTATCGTAAGCTAGAGATGAATCCAGCATCTTCACAATTTATTTCTTTAATATCCACGTCAATATCGCATAGTCACTTATCGAGGGGTTAGCGTGACAAATAACAATGGGTTCTGGATTAAATGGTTGCATTTATTGGCACTTTTTCACAATCA